ATGATTAACCACCTAGATATTTAAGATGCAAAGACTACCATACTTAAACTACTAATACATATTTTTATGTATAATATATTTTGCCTGTAGAATTCTACCATCACTTATGCCAAAAGCTGCTAGTAAGGTGGCAGGACTAAGCAACTCCGTGTTCGTTCTGTGCCAGACGGATTTCTAAAACAAACACTGCCCACTGCAGAACCCTGGGACACCTAGTCAGCAACCATCCCGAGCACAGACCGAGTCATCACTGAGCAATTGCACAATATCAAAAAAGCAACACTACAGCAACACAGCAGCTCACTGCTTACAGCATCTGAACAGAAGGACCCCAATTCTGTAACCTTTTTGGCTCAAATCCTGACCTGTGCTTTCCCAGAAACGCATTCTAGTGCAAAACCTGTGCCCAAAACCAGAGCCCCTTCCTATATCGGGTTCGGTTTTGACTTGCATGTCTGGGACACACAGGTAAAGAAAAAAGATTCTTTCAGATTATTTTTCCACTTTAAAATACTGCTTAGAGGCTTTCAAGAGTAAACTGTCACTGCAAAAACACTGAAGAATTCCTCAGAACAGAGCTATGCATCTAAGCAAAGTTTTGCTGTTGTCGAAGCACTTGGTGGAATAGACATCAAAAAAAAAGGTTCATTTTCCAGTTTCCTCAACAAAACACAATGGCATGATTTAGCACAGATAATAGGATACAAATAGCTTATTTCAGCCTGCTTCTGTCCCTCAGTGCAGTGCAGTTCATTGTACCTGAGATAATGGCGCTCACTGACGTCCCTGTGTTGTTACCAGGCAACCCGAGATAAAACGCAGGGTTTAATGATTTTTATTTAATGCATTTTTACGAGAAAGCACACTCTCATTTTTTCCTCCCCTGATATTATTTGAGGTGGAAACACTGCTTACACAGTGAGATATGTTTAGCCATCCTCTGCAATCTGAATAAGAAAACTATTCAAACTTGATATTCCAACAGCCAGTCAATAAGTATTTCTAAACACTGACTATGACCACACAAAATGTTTTGGGTTGGAAGGGACTTCTAAAGGTTTTCTAATTCAACCCCCACTATCAGACACTTACATCATGGTAGAGGATAAGATCTCAAGCCACTTCACCAAGCACAAATACTCAGTAGGTCTCACAGCAGAGAATAACAATGGCAAGAAAAAAGACCATAGCTTAGGGCCATTCGGGGTTGTTATGGATGTTTGTGTACTCCCTGGCAGAGAGCAAGAGCTCAAGCCTATATCACTCTTCATCTCTCCCATGCTGAAATGACACCCACACCTGGCAAGGTCACACTTTTTTTTTTCCTGAGGCTTTGGGTTGTCTCAATTCTCTCCAAAAAAGAGCTGTCATCATCAAAAGCTGTCTCTTCTGGTGGGGCTCTGCTCACAAGTCTCTATGGGAAGATGCACATCTTAGGAAGGTCCTACTGTAATAGCCCTTGCCCTAGCAGTCTAGGAACATGCCCAGGAACAGTTCCTGTGACTCTGAAATGCTCCACATTTCCCATCACACAATTCAGCTGTCTGTCAAGGGGCCTGACAGCAGTGAGTGCCACCTGCTGAATTCAGCAGATTTGTCCTTCATTCGGCAGAGTGTTGGAATTGTTGCCACTTATGTAAGACCACATCAGCCCTCAAATTTCTTCACATGCCAAGCCCTTCTCTGGACCTTTACAAGGGCTGGTGGTGGTGGCTCATATTATATAACCTGTAACTGATGAGTTCCTGTTACATTGGCTGAATTCACAGATACCACAGACACCTTGAGACTGGATTTCCAGTAATTTATATTTCCCTTGTTATGGATCTTAACATGCTTAAGTGCAATTCCACATTTTTATCAACGATCAGAAACTAAAAAAAAACTAGGAAAAGACTGATGGATTAATAAATCCCAAGAAGCACGTGGCAGTATCACATACAACAGGTAAACTGAGTTTATTTAAACATAACAATTTGCAACAGAATGCAGAGTTAGACATCTGATCAAGAAATACTTGCTACGCTTACAAGCACGCATTTTGGCCAACACTGATGCCACTTTTCCTGAAGCCTGCCAGAAATGGATTAGCAATGTGTAAGCAACTAACACTGTAGGACCCCCTGTATAATGATCAGCAAAGAATACAGGTATCAAATAAAAATAAAGCAGCAGGACCAGAGTCGCTTTGTTTTTCAGGTGACATCGGTGGCAGCAGTGTTAGAATGCTGAAGATACTCCAGTTGGTCACATTCGTAAAGTTTCAGATGAAAAAAAAAAAAAAAAGGAAAAAGGAGATGGACATAAAAAGAATAGGAAAGCTGAAGAAAATGTTTTATAGTTCAAATCATTGAGATCTCAATCTGTTCATCATATCAACAGCACTCATAAGTCACTCAGTAGCAAGAAAACACCAGCTTCAGAAAGGTTTTTAATCTAGCAGAAGAGAGTAAAAGCACTGGATAGAACCTAAAGCAAAACTAATTACAGTAAAAAGACATTTATATCAGTGAGGCTGATTAACCACTAGAACAAGCACAAACAGAAGGAAGGGTTTTCCATCTCTTGTTTTGTTTGCATCGAGGCACGATAACTTTCTGATTAAACCCATCTTCCTCCAAAATTCAGGTTATACTGATTGAATGTACTTACTAAGCTTAATAGTGACATAAGTCAGTGGCCTAGCATCCATCCTTCTAATACAAAGTTTAACAAATGAAGTTCTGTTCCTGAGAAAGAGATTACTTCTGAGGGACCAAATAAAACTAGATGTATATGAACAAGGAGAAAACGGTAATAAATAACCCATCAGAGTAGCTACAAGGAACAACAACTCTCTTTTTCTGTGTATTTATAGCACTCATTTTAAAGCAAAGATTTCAGCACCTCAAAGATCAGAAACACACAGATAGATGTCTTTAATTTTTGCTAGTTACCTGCCTCAGCTTGATACTTCATGCTAGTCAAGCAGATGTTGGCAGCATAAGTCTAGTTGCATAACAGGTACAAAGCTCTACACTGAAATCAGGATGAGAGCACCAGACTGAGAAATGACAATCCTGCAAAATCCAATTAATCACTGCACGACTCTGAAGACAAGTATGACCAGTAACTAGCTTGATGAAAAGGAGCAGGAATGGCTTCAAATCTCTACTTCTAGGACTATCTGCTTAAATTAAGTTAAATGGTCAAGGGGTGAAAAACAAACAGATCTGAGAACAGTACCAGAATTCAGAAATTCCTACTGCCAAGAGAATATCCAAATCACTACCCTACACAGACTTCCTTCTTCCCCCTGTAAGTGGGATTGAGTCTTCAGTCTTGAACAATGTTAACTAAGGACTCAGGCAAAACTCTTCCCAGTTGTCTCAGTTCCCTCATAACTAGCTCCAGACAGCTGCAGGCTGACAATGCTCAGTACTTAGCATATATTTGGTGAGATACTGAGATACCTCTTTCCAATACCCTGCGTTTGAACTCTTAAATCCAAACACAAAACTCTGAATTCCACTTTGGAAGAAAGACACTTAAAAGTTAAGCCAATGAGCCACTGCATTTGGCTCAAAACATCTACATATTCTAAATCTCTGCTTATGCCTCTTCAACCTTTAATTTGTCCATAAAAAAAATGGAGTTTTGAAGTAATATTAATGTGCCATCTTGCTAAAAGCTTGTCGGTTTTTAAATGGCATTGAAAATGCAACAAGAATCATGGTGGACACATTTCACAGTAGATCTACTAAAGACTGTTAAGTGGGATTACAGGAAGAAGGATGTCACAATTGCTGCTCACTGACAAGGAAATTCTACCCTATCACACGTGGATTGAAGAGCAGAAAGAGAAAATGAGATGGAATGTAAGTGGAAGGCTTCAATCTACTTAAATACTCTGAATGCCAAACTGTACAAAGTATGAAGGGCTGAAAGATTTTTTATTGCATCTTTGAATGAAAAAGTATTTTAAACCTTTCCTGAAAACCAGTTGTGAAAACTCACATACTGTTGCTGAATCGTCACCATAAGTTATCTGATAAATTCTACAGTATTTTCTGCCATAGTTCTGTAAAACACAAAGAAATAACTCAAATACCCAAATGTATTATTCAAAGCTGTCTACATAATAAATATATTTTCCAGATAAGATTTTATCAGTGCCACCCCCAAACCAAAACCTGACACTCAAACTAAAAAAACAAAGAAAAACCCTGAAGAAACACAAGCCTTCTCCATCTAGAATTTACTAGAAACAGTCTAGACAAGTGTGTCTTGATCTCACTGTCAAACCATATCTAGATTTTATTAGGCATACAAAAAAACTTAGAGAGAGAGAGACGAAAAAGCTAAAAGAGCAGTCTATCCTTCAGATTTTGCTATGCCTTAGAAACTCTCCAGTCACCAATATACTCCCAGTGTAGAATGCTCTGTTTCTAAACATTATTGTTTTAGACAAAAAAGAAAAAGGACAAAAGGCTCAAAGAAATTTCTAGATCATCTAGTCCATCCTCTTTATCAAATCATTATTATATGTCTGCATGTCATTCTGGACTGATACCTATGCAATCTATTAAATTTTAGAGAATACCATTGTGACAGCTCCATGATTTGCCCATTCTGTGTTGTTACGCACTTTTCCTTAATATCAGGAAGTTTCACATACAGTCTAACATACATCTTCCCAAGCACAGCCTAAGTCTACTGCTTCTTCTTTCATTCACCTATTATTTTATTTAACTTAACGAATTCGAAGGCTGTTTCGCATTTCCCTTTTAAAGGCTGATCATAGCAAACACAAAATCCTGGTCAGGACCTCACGGCCTGAGGAATCATCGTGAAGTAATCACTAAAACAGAGCACAGTGTTGGGAGACGGGTCAGACCACTGTCCCCAGCATGAAATCCCCCAAGGAGCCAAGAAAAGCAGAACTCTGTCCTCAGAATGTCATGCAAACCAAAGGAGTTTGTTGACTATAGTGCTGTAGTTTTCATGTTTTGATTCCCTACCTCTACCACAGTTGTCTTGGCAGCTTTGCACATAGGTTGATTGAAGTTTCTTGCAGTTTTTCTGAAAAAGTAAAGAAAATTAATAAATATAAAGAGCTGTAACAGTCTGAAGAAAGACTTTCCAGAGATGAGCCACTATAAGTATCTCTGTAATAAAAACATAAAAATCTTTTCAGCAAATATCTAGAGGACTAATAAAAAACAGGACAGAGGAAAAAATACTATGAAATTGTGTAAGATGCATATAAAATTAAATTACATGTTGCTACATTAGAAAATATTTATTACGGTTCTTTTAACTTTTAATCAGCACATTGTTTAATTGAAATTGGGTATGCTACTGATATTTTTATTTATTAGAACCAAGAGCAGCAGCAAGCTGGGCTTTGTACAATGTACCCTTCCCATTATTTCACTGCACAAACAATAAAATTAATCACCACAGGCGGGCCAGCAAAGGGCCTAACAACTTCTCCAGTCCCACATATGGCTTCATAATTCAGTCTAGGACTTGAGATAGCACTTTGCACAATAGTAAATTTAATCCAATTCTCTTGATTAAAAAAGCTGTGCCAGTTTTGGAACTCACTGCAAGACTCTGGCATTCATCCTAAGTAATCCCACGCAGTATTTCTGTAACCAGGAAAAAGAACCTCTAGAGAATAAAATAACACATGATATGTATAACCATGCTGGGATCTGCACTGAGATCCTAGTAGGCACAAGAAAAAAACAAGTGACCTGTGCCAGTCTCTGTCTGTATTTTTCATAAAGTTAACAAAACAGTGTGGCACAATACTTAAGAAAAATAATGTATATTTTGGTGGGGTTCCACTGATAGCTTCTCAGCATTTTTTTTCTTCTCAGAAGTAGAAATCTGGAAAATTTTTCATCAAAATGCATGTAACCAGATTTCAAAACAACTCAAAATCTCCTTTTACCCACTGTCCCCTTTCCACATAAGCATTTTTTTCTGACCATCTTACTTCCAAATGCCTTCTCCCCCTTTCTTCCTCCTTCTGCCTGAGGACCATGCCCAGTGCAACAGCCACGCTGAACTTTAGGGCACTGCTGCCACCTCGTGGTTTTGGGGGAGGTAGGGAATTGAACTGCCCAAACCCTGAGATTACCATCCAGGTTTGATAGGATTTCTAGTGCAGAGACCTGAATCACAGTTATATACAAAGACATGTCTCCTGCAGAAATATTGTTTTACTGGCAACACAGAAATTATGAAGCCTCTAGCAGAGGCCTCAGAAGGCCCAAGATCTTTCATCCATGGGTCAACTCTGGGGCTGCATAAACACAAAGGGATGTAAAATAGGACAATTAAAAAAAAAAATTAAAAAAAAAAATTAAAAAAAACTTGAATACATAGTCTTCTCTTATTTGCATGATTACATTTTTAGTACTGATTTGTGGAAAAACTACCCAAAACTAGGTAGAGTAGAAAATGGGGTGAAAAACAGAGTTACAAATGCTGAATTAAAACAGCAAGGGAATGTATACAGATGGGGCAAGGCAGACTTGGAAAAAAAGAATTCAGTCTGTCATCCCAAGAGACTAATTTTGTGATCCAAAGACTTTCTCAAGATCATAGTGGCTGGTCTGCCAGGAAAATAAATTGATACGAAATTATTTTAACATAAGCAAAAATGTTACAAGAAAACATTTCAATGTCAAACTAAGATGAGGTAATAGCCTCGATTCTTACCCTATTTACAGAAGTTTGTGCAATTTAGAATGTTCTTGGTTTAGTAAAGTTGTTTCAGAAGCAGCAGTCTTTTACAAGATCAAAGGTCTTTTTTCTAAAGAACACACTGTCCAGAAGAACTAAAGCCAGAAACACTATACTTATTTTCCAACACAGAATAACACGGTGGCTTTTGGAATATGAAATCTAGAAACTAGCTATCCAAGTCTGCCTTTTTTAAGACAGCTTTCTGGACATCTAGACTCAGCAATGCCTAAAAAATCCACTGTTCCAGGGATAGATTCCTAAGATGACCCAAAGGAATGACAAGAGCTTTTCTCCCACAGGCAAAACATAGCAAGCTGGTTCATAGTAAACTAAACCAAGGCACTACATCCACTAGGTACCTCACTGTGCAGAGATATGAGCTGAATTTAGATACTGCAGAACAACTTAAGGACTGGAACAGGCTTCCCAGGGAAGTGGTTGAATCACCATCCCTGGATGTATTTAAAAGCTGTCTAGATGAGGTGCTCAGGGATATGGAGAAGTGGCCTGGTAGAGTTAGACAGTGGTTGGACCCAATGCTTTTAAAGGTCCTTTCCAACCACAGTGATTCTGTGATCCTGTGAACCTGACGTGCAAGAGGATGAACTAAAGTGACTGTGACAGCAGTTGCCCTGACTCAGGCTATCCCTTCAACGTCACTGTTCCTTTGTCAAGAGTGTTCCTTCATAGGCACCAAACCACACCTCTGCTTCTAAAGTAGAAGTGAAATGCCCACATACACGTTGTTTCAGTCAGAATAGGAACAAGGTGGGATTATTTAGTCATGTTAGAGGGAGTCTTGGGCTATTTGTCTTGGTCATGGTGCACTGGTACCTAATAATTATTACCTACTGGGTCAGACACGGGTCTTACAGACAAAAGCTGTGGTGCAGAATAGAGTGCTCAGCATAAAGATGTCCAGAAAGAAAGCAGCCACAGCATGCATAAAGAGCTACAGGAAACAAGTATCAGGGTAGATTAAAGAAGGAGGAAAAGCCTGTTAAAAACACTGCCTTCTAAGGCTTTGGTGCCATTCCAGATCCCCATGAAAACATGGGGAGAATAATCATGTGTGAGAATAATAAAAAAAATCATGCTGGCCTGCAGTCCAATTAAAGCAGAGCCTGCATCTATCTAGGCATACCTCAGCAAAGAGAACAGAATTTCACACAGTAAAATAGCACAGACAAGTCCCACTGGCAGTGAATACATACTTAGTGTATCAAAAATATTTTCTCCTCTTCATCCTGTAGATCATAGAAATGTTGCAGTTATATTCGAATCTATTACAATTCCCTCCTCTGTTGCCTCCTGCAGGCTATGAGATGACACTACATTTCTCTGTTCTAGGCCATCAGGTAATCTGTGTCTCATTCACACAAAACCACAACAGGTCACTGCTTGTTATGAGCACATTCTTTTAAACTAGTGATACTCTACATGGATGATGATGTTTCCATAAAGTCACAGTTGAACAAAGGAGTGCAATTTTTTAGGTGTCCACTCCAGATGGAAGTAGTATCTGGTATCAACTGTATTGCGTGAATGTAGGAAACATACAAAGACTTCTGAATGGGACAGGCGAAGAGGAACAGGTGTAAGGACATAAAGGAAGGGGAGACATGGAAAGGGATAACGCAGTCAGTCTGTTTCTGCGGAGTATGAAAGAATTTTTCAGAGGTAATTAGCATCAGTAGATAGATACGGGGTAAAAGCACAGAGAGCACTGCTAAAGGTCAAAGACAAGCTCAAAAAGGAAAACTGTTTCCTGTATTCCATGTCCCAGAGACTAAGGAAAGCAGTTTAGAAGCTATTAAATTCATTCGTCAATCAGAAACCATCTTGTCTTACCAGTGTGTAAGCCAGGATGTCCAACAGCTGAGTAAATAAAAAAATTCTTTCTGAATTTTCAAGTATTTTAATTTAATATTATTATTATATCTATAAGATATATAGATATTATGTGAATACATGTGTATATATACACAAAGAAAACCATAACTTCATGTGTATTATTTTAGCTGGGTATTTTCTAGTTGCTTTTTCAACCCCTTGTTTGTTTTAATGCTTATAGATTGCAACGTTCAGTCTCTTCTTGTAAGAAACTGCAGCTGATTACAGTAACACTTAACTTTCATCTGATAGTCATGAAGCAAATAACTGAAAACCAGACGTTAAATATAAGCAACCCCACCCCTCCCCCCACCAGCTTCAGCTCAAGACAAACCAGAGCACAAACACAGTATGATGTTACTGATAGCACAGCAATTAAACTTTCCACTACAAAAGATGTTCAAATTCAGTGATATCTCTCCCTGCACCACTGAGACCAAACTGCCTTTAAACACACTTTTCTGGGGAAAGAATCAAGTTTTCCCATTGCTGACTGACCAGGAGACTGGAGACTGACTCAGCCCTTTCTCTTCTGACATAGAAGAACCTGCATTTCTTGGGTCAGCTTTTTGTACAAGGTAAAGGACACAGAATAACATGAAAACTGACATGAACAGTATGTCACTGCTTTTCTACACAGTCATCATAATGACTTGGGTCTGCTGTGTCTCATTTTTAACTACCAATGCATTATTTCACAGCTGTGTTTCAATTCTCAGAAGTCATTAGAAAAAGCAATTTATTTCTTTTTTAATAACAGTATAATTTGATAGTAGGGAAAAGCAATATGAAAGAAAGTGAAATCAGTAAAACATGGTTTTGCCATCACACAGGAGACAGGATTCTCCTTTCTCTTTCATTATCTAAATCATTAAAGAATCCTTCCTCACTGGTAAATAAGTCATACCTGAAAATGATGTTTCCTGCACGATCAGCCTTCCATGCCTTCACAAGAGCAAAATCTCCTGTAATTGACTTCTCCAGAATAAAGTGGCGTCCATCGAACTCTCGCACCTACAGAGAAAAGTACACTACTGAGATGAGGTTTTCTTCAAAACAGATATCCCATGTAATATTTATTTTATGGGGTTAATTTTACAGACTATTACATCTAGATTTCTTTTTGTATTACATAAAGTTTTATCTGAAAAACTGTAGCTCAACTGTATAACAACAGAGAAACAAGAAACAGCTGTAAATGGCAGTTTTATTAGTTTCTCTGTTTAGTGAAACAGAATGAGAATCAGATCAATATTCGTGCTGCTCCACCTACTGGAAGTAGAGATGCTTTCTCCTGCACACCTACCAGCTGACCAAAAACTGAAGTGCAGAACTGCTGGAAAAGTTCATATTCACCACCCACCACCAGAAACCCCAAATCTAAAATGAAGTAGATTTGAGACAGAATTCTCAACCACATCATCTAACAGGCTGAATTTCATTTGGCTTTTCTCTGCATTTATTATCAATATATTTGTAATGCTATTGTGCCTGAAGCCGGAATATGTACTTGACCAATAGCTAGTATTCTCATCTTATTTAGAAACATGAAGTAGAAGGTTAGAGTACACACAAATACTACTTGAGAGCTAATTAAGGCTTTTATGAGGGGGAGGATGTATGGCAAATACATATCTGAAATCAGTTTTTCAGTCCTGTAAAAGGAGATATGAGCTTTTATAAAATGATACTTACATTCAAAATGGTTTTGGAGAACACATTTGATCAAATCATGGTAGTTATGTTATTAGCCCCCCAAAAGACGGAGGATAGTAAGAGAGACTTTTCTACCAATGTTAGAAGTGGAAGAAAAATGTTACTAAAATTATAAGCTATTTAATAAACAAACCATTCCTTGAAATGGTAAAATGTCATAATCACATAAACATAAGAAAATTAAGGGGAAAAAAAGACTAAGCTAATGACTGAATACTGAAAATGTATAAAATACAAGAAAATAATGGAGGGGTGGGGAAATTACCTTTACCTCAGGAATTTTCTTCAGGTAGAATTTAACACCATTTGCAGCCTAACTGGAACATACAGTATCAGCCCCATCCATTTCTTCAAGTATAGTTATGGCACTGAGAAATCTTTTCCTTTCCTCAAATTCTACATCCCATTTCAATAAGACACCCTTGTTTCTCACTTGGAAACCTCACTCTTTTTGTTTCTTTGCAATTTCAAATATTCACACTAAATTGCATTTCAGTGGCTGGGAAATTTTTTTCCTTAGAGTTTGTGTTAACTGAATTCTTCCCTGTTTAGAAAGAAAATGTCCCATCTCTTTTAATGCTAAAACTTCATGCAGGACGGGTTAATCCACATCACAGTATTTAAGGAGAACCCGCCCCACGAACAGGAGGTTGTTGTTGAACCACACTGTGCACTGCAGTGGCCTGGTACAAGACCTTGACTGAATACCCAGCAAACTGGTCAAAGAACTGTAAAGTGAAGAGTAACTCAGGAAGGCAGGCTATCACTTGGACCAGCTCTTGATGCTATGTCGCCCTGAAACTGTAAAAACTTTTCTAGCACAACACAGAGGACAGAAATAAGTGGGATGCAAACTAATGTAGCGGACACCCTGTTAATTCAATATAGAATCATAGAATCATAGACTC